CAAGAAATCTTTGAATTGGCAACCATATTTGAAGAAATGAAGCCAGTGGACACTATTATTTGAGTGGTTTGTAATAAATTACATAAGTCATTATTAAATTTTTTACAAATACACAACAAGGTATATTGGTTGATAAATAGAACGATGAGAGGCATTCAGATTTACTATAAGCAAGGCTTAAATCTCCAGCGGCGCACGGCTAAGTGACGTCCGTCCACAATACACATTGATTGACAACACAGGCCAACGAAATTTCATCAAAGTCATGTTGACTAAAATATTATAGCCGATTCTTATAGAATTTTTCCCGTAAAATCAGAATCCGACCTTAAAGGTATTGGATTGGTTGTTGGGTAGTGTACTTGATTAAAACATCGTCGGTGAATTTAAAATTGTAATGCACATTCTAGACAGTCTGCTAACTATGTGCATTACAATTTAAAAACGAATACGTAATTGTAATGAGCGCCCGAAAAGTATTCCTTCACATCATACTTTCCGAATAAGATCAACACCAGTATGTAAAAGAACCCAGAGAGGAAGACAAAGGGGCCATGCTTACACACAAGTAGCCTATACTTGCCGCGTGTGCCTGAGGTGTCAAACCCTAACTCCACCTCAGTCAGGTGTAACACCTGCAACGTCATACGTTGCTTCTTGCTGCTCAAATAGAGCTGACTCCACGGTACACCCGAGTGCGCCTGAGCAGCTCAACACAAAAACGACCGTACTTCAACATAACAAAATAGAATACACCACAGATACAATAACCCACACCGCAGACATAACTGCAGCACCAAGAGACGAAGTTGCACAGCAATTGAACTTCAACAGAGTTTTCCGCTGGAAAATTATTGATTTTCAAGAATTCTATACCATTTCTACGAAAAGTGGTTTTTTCCCCCTATATAAAATACATGGAAAACTTTGGGCGCTTTGAGCGACTTTATTTTTTGATTTCAAAATAGAAAAATAGGGCTATATTATTTGCGGTATAGAACATTCGTATTGGTTGAGAGCAAAAAAATTCCGACTTTACTTTTTCATATGCATTTTTGGATCACCCTAATGTATATATACATGGTACGTAGTTAGATAGACATTACTTTTCGAAAAGGTGCCAATCCTAGACAAATATATTTTCAGTGTGAGTATAAGCTAAAAAAAATTCGACTTTTGAAACAGCTGGCAACCCTCTTCAAAAGTATTTTCAAACTGAAATATTTTTAACCACTTTCGACTGTCATTGTGACACGCATGTATTTCAAATAACTGATGAAGTAAGTGTATTGAATTAAAGTTTTTATACAAGTGGCAACTCTATTAAATACAGTTCAGATACAAATCCTTGTCGAATAAATTTAGATTGATACCAATTTTTTAATATATAATTCATTTAACTTAGCTAATAAATTCAAATTAACTTTTCCAACAGATGGCAACCCTTTTAAAATACCTCAAAGAATGTTCGAGCTAAAGATTTCTTAGCACTTTCGTTTGATACCCATATTTTATAGTTTCACTTAGCTTCACATAATTTAATTTAATCCCAAATTTCAGACAGGTGTCAAATCTCTTCATATTAATTTAAAAGTAAACCCTTCTTAAACCTCAGTAGTCTGACATCCATATTGCGGTAAATACATACTAATTACTAATTGCCTAAAAAATCGTTCGATATGTTTCGGGGGAGTGCGATCACAAATACCATGACACGAGATTTTTATATACATGTATATTAGGTTTCTAAATTCTGATGAGAAAAACACACAATTTCTTTGGCGATGCACTCTAATGTACGAGTACATGTATCATTTGATATCATTATAATAAAATAGGTACATATATCCTTAAGAGTAGTTTAAATTTTAAACAGGTATAATATTTGTGAGGTGAAATATGTAAATCTCATTTAGGTGCAGCTTCAGTTTTCATTTTGGCCACACACGCGCTTCAATCCAATCGAGATACTTTGATGCTCTAGTATAAACGCCTGGGGCTTCAGTTGCACAGCCGAGTCCAAAGGCTGTCACACCAATCACATAAGGCACATGCCTGATTTTTAATATCAATGGGCCACCGGAATCACCCTGTGTTGAAAGAAAACATGCAGAAAATGCGTGCGTTAAAAAATTAATATGGCCTAAACACTTTAACTTACTTGACAGGTGTCACGTCCAAATTGCCTATCTTGTGCACATAGCTGTATATCCATTAAACCGAGTGGTAATAAATTAGTATCTCTGTAATGTGTTTGGCACACTTCATTGCCTACGACAATGAGGGAGGCTTTCAAAAGTTCATCAGACGATCTGCCACCTTAAAGTAGAAAAATATATTTAAGATACTCAAATTTTGTACCTACGGTGACCAACAGTTCACTATTTTCAAAAATAGTACTTTATTTTTCCCTTCAATTCAAAATGCCTTTTAAATTAGTTTAAGGAGGGTTTACATTGTCAGCATTGGGATACAGGCTTTTCCTTGGAAATTTCCGCTGTTTACATTGAGCCCTATCCGCCAAAAAATGTAAGCGAAATTTTTTCATAATTCTCTATAAATATTCCTGGTTACTCTAGGAGCATTTCGGCATCAAAAAGAGGATTAAAAAAAATCGCTTACATTTCTCGATGTATAAACTTGCGTGGAATTTCAGTTTCATGTATTCGAATTGATATTTTTCTAACTTACCGAAAATGGTGTGACCGTATCCAACAGCGGTAACATTCTCATTGTCCAGTAGCACATTTTCTCCAATGCATGCTGGTTTGAAATTGCTACGAAAATAATTTATACGCGAATTCTTTAAACTAATTTTCTGAATGGGAAACGGTATGATTCATCAGATAAGCACAATATTTTCCTGCAATCACCGGGGTTATATATTTACCCTCGAAGTATCGGGAATGCTGTGTTTAGCCTGATAATAAATATATCACATAGTAAAACTTAGTGATAAATAAAAATAAAAGGAATGCCTTGGCTTTGCTTCTTTGTGGTTTTTTATTTAAACCCCACAAAGAATTTTCTTTGAAAACGCTATCTTTTGAATAAAATCTGAAGGCAAGTTTAGAATAGGTTGTGCCGGCAGCTCTGATAAAAGTTCATTCGGAGGTCGCACAGGCCCATTGTGATGCCCATAATAGGTTTACCGCATGTCTATCCGTTTATAGCGTCATTATTTTGTTGCCAGTACCAACAGACCCTATAATGAAGCTTTCCTTAAGCTACCTAAGCTCTCAAAGAAGTGGTTTCCCATAAACTAAATCGTTTTCTCGGGATTGCTGGACAGTCCACGTTAGTGTTGCTGTGAGAAGCTTTAAGAGCTTTATGGCCAGTTTTTCAGTGCCAGTTTAAAGTTAGATTAAGTAAACTGAGTTTGAACAGCTGGCTGCCAATTGATTGGTTGATCTTAGTTTAAACCAGCCAGAGTTAAACTCCGATTAAATGCCTATTAAATGTCGAATAGATGCAACCAATTTTTTGTTTGGTTATTTTTACACCTTTTTAGGGCCTAAATAAAAGAAAAAAATTATTTCATGTTAATTGTAGCCTAGCAATTGAAAGATTTAAAATTTGCCTTATTCAAAATCAGTTTACAATAGGGGTATTCTATGAGTCTTGCAAAGTCCTTGCACGGTGCAAATATTGAAGAGATTGCACGGTAAAAAAAACGGTTTTCGTATAGGACAGCTTTGCAAGACTCAGAGAATAC